AGGTAAACATTAAACTTCTTTTATTGTACTTTTTTGCTAATAGTAAGAAAATGTAACAATTTACATTTATTATGAAGCCGTTGTCAGGCACCACTCGGTTTAAGTTAAGCGCTCGTTCATTTTTCAATTTTATTTTTCAGATTCAAGCCTATGTGTCTGTGATAGACAGACAGACTTTTATCAAGTGTCACATTTTACTGATCATATTTTCTTTTTAATGGTAATAAAAAAATTCACGGGACAAAATGTTTTTAACAAAAGTAAGGGTGACAAACGAACGAGAAACACATTAATCTTTCACAAAGAATCAAAATGCAGATGCATTGTCATTCCTGTGCACTAACATGGAATGCCTCGTTGCCAGTGAAACCATGTCTGGTTCTGTACTCACACCAGAAATAGCAGTATTATACTTTTTATAGAATAAGGGTAACAGACGAGGACAGACCACCAGATGGCAAGTATATGTTACAGCCCATAGACATTTACATCTACCATCGATTAAATCGATGTCACCCCTGAGGGCTAAGATAGACTACTTCGTTACTATTTTTTTATAGAATAAGGTTGACAAGCGAGCACGCAGTCCACTTTATGGTAAGTGGATGCTGTGACCCATAGACGTCTACATCTATCATCGAATAAGAATAAAAGTGAAGATGCGTTGCCACCCCTTTGGGCTAAGATGGAATGTCTCGTTTCCAGTAAAAAGGGTCTCCGGTTCTCTACACCCACCATACGAAACACAGCAGCATTGAGCTGCTACATTACGCTGGTATTCTGTGATAGCGTGGTCCTTCCCCGGTCGAGCCGACCCTTTCGTGTTACAACCATAATATAGCTGCAACATGAAGCTACCACTAAAAATTTAATTTAAAAAAGATCTCCGGTTCTTGTCACCCACCATACGATACTTTTCAGTATATTTCTGGTGTTTCACACTGGTATTCTGTGGGAGCGTGGCTCTTTCCTGGTCGAGCTGCAGCGTGGCTCTATTGCGCAGAAAAATGGACAATACTATTTTACGCTAGTATTGTGTTATTTTATTATGGTATTCTGTGCGAGCGTGGATTTTATCCGTGTCGTCGAGCCGACGAATCAGTGCTCCAGCTATTATACCTTAGCAGTTTGACTGTAATAATTACATATTCATAAAAATTCATCTCAAGCAACCATCTGTAGCAGCGCTGTAGTCGCGCCACAAGCAAAACACACCGAAGCCTAAATCGCGCTATCAACATTCCGAATCATAAACAGTATATATAGAACATCTCCGAACTATCATACGGAGCGTTGGCCGCTCCCCGGGCAGAACACCTTGCCCGGCGGGAGATCTCCCCTTTTCCTTCCACGGCCACAGTGGTGACTAACCGACGTGATCTGAACACGCAACCAACAACCTTCGGAAACTTCAAGCTTCATCATCGTCATAGAATACCCCACCCATACGCTCCCGAGCAGATATCGTCTGCAGTCTTCATATCCTGCAAGCCAGCTAGCTTCACAAGGTTCATCGCAGTACTGGAATAATAAAGCAACTCTCTGCGCTACAGTGTTCGGCACGGCTCTGAGCCTTACTGCTTGCCTCTGCTTCACGACACTCTCGCAGATTACTTGCCTCCTTCTCGACTCACCGCAGACTACAAGGCAATCTCCTGGCACTTACACATTCGTCGGCAACGAGACTGCACTATCGACCTCCGGTCTGAGCAAGGGGGTGATGTAGCGGCGCTGTCATCGCGCCACAAGCGAAACACACTGAAGCCTAAATCATGCTATCAACATTTCGAATCATAAACAATATATATAGAACATCTCCGAACGATCACACGGAGTGTCGGCCGCTCCCCGAGCAAATCATCTTGCCCGGCGGGAGATCTCCCCTTTTCCTACCACGGTCACACATCTATTAAAGTGAACGCCATATTTGATGCAGAAGAATATTTGACTATTTTATACAATTTTAAATAGTGCTGTGTGTGAGATGTCTGTTAAAATCGTATACACATATAGTTCATAATAATTTGTACGTAGCACATGCTTTGTTTTTAGTGCGAGACAATCTACTACCCCAGCCATCTCGAGGGTAACATCTAAATAAAAACTGCGGTTGTTAACTCTTCTGTCTATGGGGGTTGCCTTGTTTGCAGTGGAGTTTTGCTAGACTGTCATGATAATAATGGGTGATTTAAAAAATATCACCCATATAGGTACCACAATTCTAAAATTAAACACGTTTTCGGCTATAAGTTTAATATGAATAATACTAAATAAAACTTATTTAGCTTATAAGTTGTTTAATGTTTTCAATATCAAGTAACATATTGTAAAATAATGTTTGTTAGATTTTTTACTTTTTATTTTACATTAGAAATACATTATTCCTTAGTTTTATAAAAATAATCAAAATTAAATTATGATAATTGATAATTAGGATTTTATAGTAAATAAATAGCGGAAAATCCCGTATTTAGTTTTACTTACTATTCAAGATTGTTCATAAGGTTAAATGAACGTAATAGCTGGAGAGCTAGTGAACCCTCCGAGTAACGGTCTTCCTGTAAGGTTGGAAATTGTACACTTAGCATGTATAGCATGCTTAGGGCAATAGCCATGACCTGGCAGCCGTCAGCCTGCACATCATCAGCCCCTTAATTTTTTAAATTGTAAAATAAATAAAGTATATAAACTTGTTTCTGTAAGCTTAAAAATTTTATAGGATGTAGTTTATTTATTGTAAATCTTGAAAAAAAAATTGACAGGCGATTGCATGAGCAAAAGTATGTGACAGGTGAATTGAAAGGAGCATAGTTGATGAGGTAAATAATAAACTTTCTCCTGTATAGTTGAAATTTGGATATGTTTTTATATTGTTCTCAGCCATAATGATCTTCCTGGGGAAGTATATGTGGTGGTTTCCCGTTGCCTTCCACACGCTGTACTATTGCCGAACCGATGCACACCATCTCCGTCAATAGCTTCCTTTTTCAGAGTAGTTCCAGCCTACTAGACTTCCTCTTCTGAAAAGACTGTTACGCAGCTGCCCATAACAGATCGAAATGTGGGTATACAGGAGAATGTTAAGGATATCCTGGAGAGACAAAATAAAGAACGTAACAGTGCTAAGTCGCATAAAGAAAAAACCAGAAGTTGTATATGTAGTAAAGAAAAGAAAGCTTGAATATCTCGGCCACATAATGAGAAACAGAAAATACGATCTACTGCAACTTATCATACAGGGCAAGATCCAAGGAAAACGAAGTGTGGATCGAAGAAGAACATCTTGGCTGAAAAACCTACGCCAATGGTTTGGAAAGTGCTATAAATGCTAAGTGTACAAATTTCCAACCTTACAGGAAAACCGTTACTCGGAGGGTTCACTAGCTCTTGGACTATAAGCTCGTTTCACAGTATAATAGTATTAAAAGTTTAAATTTATTACCATTTTGAGCAGACTTAGGAACATAACAAGTTCATGTTAAGATCTAGACTGTCCCCTACCTCTATTCCCTAATTTTCCACATTTAGGGGTGAAATTTAATCTTAAAAATAGTATGGGCACATCCTTAAAGTATAACTTTTTTTAATAAAGAAATTAATACAATCGGTACTACCGTTTCGTTTCGTTAAAATATACGCGTCGAATATAAAACCATCTCACTTTTTGAACTCTGTTAAAATGATGTAATAATATATTAGTATCATCGGACAATCAATTGAAAGCCGGTGCCGGATTTTGTAAAGCATAAATAAAATAAAATGGTGTGTATTGCATGTTTCCGGAGCAGGGTAGTCTTATGGTTGCCACATACGGTCAGTTCAACAGATCATTCCAACTGATCAGTTCAAACTAAAACTGTTGACATTTTTTTTAATATTGGATTTTCGATATATCGATAAATAAACTTATATAAAAAACTCCGATATTGATATATTTATAATTATCGATATATCGATAATTCAATATTTAAAAAAATATCAACAGTTTTGTTCGTGTTGCCAGTGATGACCTACGGAACCGAGACGTGTTCCTTCACTGCTGACCGTATGAGGACGCTCAAAGTCGCTCAGCGAACTATAGAGAGGGCTATGCTCGGGGTTTCTCTGCGTGATAGACTTAGAAATGGGGATATCCACAATAGAACCAGAGTGACCGACATAGCCAAACGGATTAGTAAGTTGAAGTGGCAATGGGCCGGCCATATAGCTCGAAGAACCGACAACCGTTGGGGAAAAAAGGATCTCGAGTGGCAGCCTCGTACCGGGAGGCGAAGTGTAGGGCGACCCCCCACTAGATGGAGTGATGACCTGGTAAGACATGCAGGAAGTCGATGGATGCAGGTGGCTCAGGACCGTGCTTTGTGGTATACCTTGGGGAGGCCTATTTTTAGCAGTGGACTTGTGAAGGGCTGTAATGATGATGATGATGATGGAAAAACACATTCATAGTTGTATTGAGTACATGCAGACATAAAGATTAAAAATAATTGTGTATTTTTTCTCTGGAATTTCTCAAATTTACTATATTATTGCATTATTTTTGAACAAATATAGTATATATTAGTTCAAAAAAAAAGGTGGCAACCCTATACTCACTATAATCAACACACCTCATAATCCAATAAGTGTTGAAGAATTTTTAAATTCTAATATTATATTCTTAAAAAAATTGAAGTGCATCTGAGAAATGCTTTTTAAGTCGCTCTCTCTTCTTCCCTTCACTAAATGATAGTAGAAAGAGGAAAGAGACATTGTGTATAGATAATTCATTTTTAATTTAAACACGCGTTAGTCAACTGTTATAAACATGGCCGCTAATTCTTAAATTGTGGGTTCTGGTTTAATTGTATTAATAAATCTAATTTCATTTAATCTCTAACAAAATCATTGTGTCGTTCAGGAAGAATAAATTTTTATTTGTATTTTTCAGTCTTTTTATTTGTTATTTATAGTCATTTTCTGAATAAATCGGCATCGAGAGGTACGATCGTTGGGAACACTTAAGGTGTGATCTGAGTGCGTATCCACGGCAGGTACTCGTACACTTTGGTGTAGACTCCAGGTATGTTCTCGAGACCGCAAGGTGTTGGTCCGAAGCTAACGATGCCAACGACCTCAAACAGTTTTCCATTCTCGTACATGAGAGGACCGCCTGAGTCTCCCTTGCATGAGTCTTTGCCTATTTCTCCGCCGGCGCAAATTTGCCCTCCCCATAAAGCCACTTTCCGTCTGGGATTGTCGTATGGTACTTGGCATTCCTGTAAAAACACATTTTATACAGTTAATTGCATGTCTTCATTATTGTAAAATTACAAAATTATTGCAACATTTTATGTCTTAAGAAATAAACCCACTGGGTTTCTTGCCGGTTTTTTCCAGGACAGAGGTATTTATCGAACCAGTGGTAAATAAATAAAAATAATTAATATACCGAATTTAATGAAACCTTGATCTTGAGCGTAACCTTGTCATATCGACAGTAAAGCCCACGCCCAACTTCTCTCGCTTTGAGTTGTGTAAAATTGATTTTCAACGAGTATTTTGTAATAACTAATAATCTATATTGAATAAAGATATTACATTCTTTACTATTCAATTTTAATCTCATGCATAAAGTATCACATGTGTTTTGTGTATCGGCAGATATTTCTTTGCAACGTTAGTAGATTTTATACAATCGTTAACGCTTACTGAAAACTATAAAAATATAATATGGTAATTTCAATAGCAGAATGCTAAATCACGATCACGAGTGACGTGACTTATTACTGACTTCATTAATTTGTATTGTTTTCCATTAGCTTTAATGATTGTAGGAAGTCAACCTGTATTAACCCCGCTGGTCTTGTTGGATATTAAACATAAGAGTACATCATTTCTAAATTGAAATAAGGTCCTCTAGCTTCATCTTAACGTACATCATAACCATCATAATCATGACAACCATTTCACACCTTTCGAAAACACTGCAAAACAAGATCCAGAGCCACCTGAACCCGTGGACTTCCTGCAAGTATTATTAGGTTGTTCAGTTACTCGACTCGACCGAGTCAGTGATACATTTTAGAAGCGATGTATACGCTTGTACTATAAAATATACAAAATTTGACTTGCTCAAAATTCGCAATTTTTATTAACTAACGTTCGTATAAAAAGGAATCTTATATTATTAAGGAATTTATGGATGATAATTACCCTGGGAATGAGTTGATCGCCACCAAGCTATTGCTAATTTGTTTTGTGATCGTGAGTTGTTATTAATTTAAAAAAAAAGGTCCCGCTGGGTTTCTTGCTGGTTCTTTCCGAGACAGAGGTTTTTTCTGAACCAGTAGTAAATGAAACAAAGGAGTGACTTTTAATAACTATGTTAGTATAGTAGTAATATTTATAATATATATTGTATAAAAAAGTTTCTGTTGTTGTTGTCACTTCATCCACTAATGGTCGTGCTACATTTCGCTCACCGGTAAGAGGCTGCAATTCGAAAACCTTTCTTATCCGTCGGTTGTCGGTTCTTTAAACTGGCCGAATGCGTATTCACTTTACTACTTCTCTTTTCTTCACATATAACTGTTGTTCATTGATAAGATATGAACTCTTTTAAAAGTCTAGTATGATGCATTATTAGCTTTTGTGACGATAATTTTTTCTATACACCAATTGTTTCATTAAATTTGATATACTTACGTCTTGCGTCTTGTACGGCAGACTGACGTGCAGTTTTATATTGCTACTGCTCTGGGACGCGCTGACTGCGCCCCAGCCAGCTGCAAATAGCCTAACGTCCGGAGGAGCACTCTTCGCCAGATCGGACGAAGGCAAACAGATTGGTCGAATGAAATCTGAAATATCATGAACCAAACTATAAATATTTAGGTTAGGCAAATTACAATTCTGAAATACATTGTTATCAATTATGAGATAATTATGATATAACCTCTAAGTCGTGAATTCTAAGTACACATAGATAGATATGCGTAAGCATAGACTACAGACTTCTATTTGCCAGTATCCTGACACATCTGTTACGCTCTTTGTGGATATTACACTTAAAGCAATATCTTTAAAATACACATACTTCGTCATTTCTTGATTTTTTTACACATTGAGCTGATCTTACTTTTGTGAATTTTGGTGCGAAAGATATAAACGTTATTTAATATTTTATAATGTTTAAATTAATCTGCTGGCGCAACTCTAACTTCAATTCGAACATATAGTATGTGTACGGACATCAGTTTTGTTGCAAATATTTTCCTTAACGCGGTTAATATATTAGTTGATTTCTCATTGTTGATGTTTTCCGTATTTAAATATTATAAATGATTATGTTTTGTAGTGTCCTAACTATAATTTCCACTTGGTCGCCATGATGCCGTCAGTAAAAATAGACAACGCAGCAATACGAACAACTATTATGTTTTAAATATTGATGTAATTCTATAAATTTGCTAAGATGTAGGATAAAATAATTAAAATTTCGTGATTTGCGGAATCGAAATGTGGTCTTTCACAGATATATACGTACGCGAGGAAGCTTAAATTCACACAGCGAGCTATGGAGAGGGTGATGCTCGGAGTTGCTTCAATATAAGTATGACAAACAAGCATACAGTCTACTTGATGGTAAATCAATGCAGTAGACCGTAGTCATCTCCACCTATTCTCGATTAAGAATCAAAATGCAGATGCGTTGTCACCCCTGAGGAATAAGTTGGAATGCTTCGTAACCTGTAAAAATGGTCAATCTTCGTCATTGATCATAGGAAATAGAACAGCATATATACAGTTATCTTACGTGAGAGCGTGGTTGACCAGTCCAGATTGGATAAGTAATTATAAAAAAAATTATAATTTATAATTTTTTTTGTACAACATATCAGATCCGTTCCATCCATCCTACAATTAGTGCCCCCCCCCCACCCCCACACACAAGGCCGAGCGGTCTCAAATTGTAGCTATCTCACCTGTGTACGGTGCCATCTGACTGAGTCTCAGTAGCGCGATGTCGTGTCTCCTTAATGTGTTGGTGGGATCGTACTCTGGGTGCGCTGTTATCCTCTCGATGGGCACTATGACGGCACCTGCCGTGCAGTCTTCACCGCCCCCTTCTACTTCGACGCAGTCTGGTCCTGAATTGCTCGTGTCGTATTCGCCGAGGCGGACGTTTGCTCTGTGTGTTAGAAATACATATAAATGATTAGCTTTTAACTGCTGTTTCGCTCAATACGAAATGGAAACGTTTTCATGATGACATTTTACTGCGATAACAAGTATTTGGTATGTGCTTTGATTGAAGTATTTGACATATATTACGATGTATGGATATTTTATGTATGTAATATTGCAATCCTATTGCGTATGCGTATGTTGCGTCAACCAAGGCTGATTTTTTAGTCGTTATATAAAATAGTACCCGGTTGACCGAGCTTTGCTCGGTATTTTTCGCTCGATTTTTTTTAATTCGTGTGTTTTGGAAATTATATTTAGATACAAATTACATACTGATGAAATATAAATAATATTTTTGATGTTAGCGACATAACAGAAAAAACGGAACTGGTTATTTGAATAAAAAATCGTGAGTGCAATTATTTTAATTTAAATTTTCGTGTTTTTAAAAAATACTAAAAAAAAGGGCTCGAAAAAAATAGATTTTTTCAAAAAAAGAAAGGAACTTGAAAAAAAAATTAAAAAAAGTCGGTCGGTCGGTCTGGGCTCGAACCATGCTATTACGATTTTGTGACCGCCCAATATACCAATTAAGCTATTTGTAATCATTAATAAACTGTCAAAATTTACCTTCTTATTCTAACGATATTATAGCAGTTTTTCATTGCCTAAAAACACGGACAAAAATACATTTTCTAAAAATAAATCCTAGCTAGATCGATTTATACGACAGTAATTTTTAATTCGTTTATGTTTTATTTTATCTTCTGATTACCTTTTATTCGAGAATTGATTGAGCCTTTATCATTAAATCGTTATTTAAAAAATATTTATACCTTAACATGTAAATTGAATTCAAATAACTTAGATTGCAAATTTAAAGAAATCCGCAAAATAAAAAGAACTTAACCTTTAAACAGCTGGAAAGATATTGAATCATAGTAGCTAAGAACTCTTGATCAAGGTAACTTTCAAACAAACATAAAAAAAAACTAAATCTAAGTCGGGTCGTCCGTTTGAGAGCTTACGATGCCAAAAATGAAGTGAAAAAAAAAACAGGCAATATTTTATTCATTTTAATAAATTCACCTGATTTGCTTCCCTTGGGCAACGGAGTCTTCCTAATAACTACAAATAATAAATTGCCAACCAGTCTGCCAAGCATGGCAAGTACGTCAAAAATCCCACCTATGAAGTAGGTCATATATGTAAAGCCTTATGTTCTGAATAGAAAAAAATTCTACTCTCTTAGTAGTTAAGCTTATACCTAGATCAAGATAAAACAGAATTTTTCGCTCTCTTCTCAACTACTGAAAACGTATACAAAGAACATTTTTTTAATGTAAAACAAGCGTTTTAATTTAAAAAAATGTTCTGATTTAATCAAGCTCAACAGTTTGGAAGGGCAAAATAAGCAAATTTGTATTATTCAAATAAAATGAAATATATTAAGTTCACGTAAAATTAAAATGAATTCCTTCAATTTCAATTAGTGCACGTGAACTTTTGCGAGTCCGTAACCTTTAAATGACCTCACTAGTTTTTTTTTAGGTTCACGAGAGAACTCCAAGGTGTTTAATTTTTTCACAAGTATTTCATTTATTATTTTATTTCATTACAGCCTAAGTCCGCTGCTAAACATAGGCGTCTCCCATAGATTGCCACCATACCATGGGGTGTTAGCCACAGTTGCCACGCTGGTTGGTAAATGAAGCTTTTTTATTTTGAGTTGCTGTCAGGAAGATGCTGCTACCGGTCTGATGTTTCATTTTATAGCGTAATGTCTTATGGAATCTTACTATGGGGTAATACGACTGACAGTGAAGTCATATTTGTTTTGCAAAAGAGAGCCGTACGGGCAGTTATAACGTTATAACTTAAATTGTAAAGAGTCGCTTCGAGAAAAATTTAAGGAAATAAACATTTATTAACTTTGGCATCGCAAAATATTTATGAAAATGCATAAACATAAAAACATAAATAGCTTTCATAAGAATAAAGATCACTAGAAACAGACAGAAGCTTGTAATACCGGTTACTAGACTCCACAGAATTAGTAATTCATTTAGTAGTAGAAAATGTTTACGCTTTTACAACGAAATCCCATAAAATGTACAAAATTAGTCATTAAACGAGTTTAAATGTTATATTGAAGAAAAGTTTTACAAAAAGGGTTATTATAATATAAATGAATACATAAATGAAAATAACCCCTGGGAATGAGGTGATCGCCACCATGCTGGTTCTATGAAAATTCATACAAAAATTGTACAAAACGAATTTATTGTGAAATATGTTTAAAAAAGGTCCCGCTGGGTCTCTAGCTCGTTTTTTCCAGGACAGAGATTTTTTTGCGAACCAGTGGTAAATAAAAAAATGACTTTCAATAAGTATTTATACAATAATCTATTTGAATAAAAAATCATTCATTTAATTTCCCTCTATCGTCTTTAACTACATCCACGGTATGTAGTAGGGTAGTAGATTCTAATACGTCGCCACTACACGGTAATTACAAGTTAAGTCTATAAAAAATTAGTTTTAAGCTTTTCAAACTAGGCATATTTGCATAGGCGCAATTTGTCGCGCGTGTGTGTGTGGTAGTTAGTGCCGGTGGAAGACAATGCACCATGTCATCTCATGGGCACCTTAAGGGGCTATAGTACCTCATCTCAAATCCTAATTTCGCCCCCACTTCCCCGCGCGTCGCGTCGTATGCTATGTACCGACATGTTTGTAATCACTAATACTGTAAGTAGATAGGTCGTTAGATACTTATTTCATTAGGTTTATCATATTTCTTTATGCCAGCCCAGTCGCTTCTTATTGTTATCACGGTTATTTCCCATTTTAATTTTACATCGTCCTGTCGCGTAATGTGTATTCTGATCGTAAGCGACACAGCTTTCCCGTTAGAAAGCCGAAGCGAGACTGAGTGGGTGGGAGTATCGGACGGCATGGAACAAACTTCAGATAACTTAGGTAATTTCATTTTACAATGAACATAATGGTAATTTAAAGAAAATAAAAAAAACATAAGCCCTACTTTATAGTTAGTTCAGTTAATATGCAAAGTTTCATGATCTAATTTAAAGTATTTTATGAATACCAGCGGTTTATTGTTCAGTTTGGAGGTAACTTTGGATTTTTTTTTCTATCGAGAAAGTTTTACGGAATCGTGTTTTCATCTAACATAGTACTTAACATTAATCCTCAACTTTACCATATATTTATTTCAAAATTAATGCTGCAATAGTTTCGGCGTAACGTTAGGATCTTGCTAAGCCATTTGAGTTAGAATAGGCCCTTATTTCCCCTTAAGGAACGCTTGAGCAAATGCAATCTTGTGGCATCTGATAGATGGAGCTAAAAGTATTTCATGCATATGTCGGATCGAAGTTGCTAGACATCTGGTTACGAGATCGTTGACCTCCTTGGCATAATAAAAGCCTTCTTTACGGTTTGATGAAGAAGAAGAAAAAAAAAAGAAAAAGAAGAAAGTACATTAAATACTAGGTTTATCGAAATTAATAGCCACTACTTAATCTTTGTTACTTTGGTCGCTTATACACATAGTATGTATGTTTGTGTATATTATTCTTTTACTTACGGTCTACCAACGGCCAGCACGGGTCCAACCACGCAATGGCCGGCCGTCAAAACATATTTTCCGCTGATGAGGACTCCACCACATAACAATTTGATTTTGTCTTCCTTTTTGTACTCTATGATCGCCAGCCAGGGGTACTGGTCGATCGATGTTGCGTTCCCGCCTGAAACAGAATTGATATTCACGGTAATTTTAAGTCGCAAATTTTCTTATTATCTTTGAGTAACAAACCAGTTAATAGTCCACGTGATGGTAAGGGGCTCCTGTAGCTCATAGACACCTTCAAACAAAGATAGACAGAACACCGCGTATATTGAAAGTTACTTTTAGATTTAATGGAGAAGCGTACTAAAAGGTTTATTGGTGATATTAATATGGTAAGAACTAATCTTATCAGTCTCGAGTACAAGACCAAATAACCCAGGCTTTCGGTTGCTTACGGAATATTTTACATTTCGCAGCGTCCAGAAAGGGTAAACGCCACCCGTGACAAAAAAAAAACTTTAAAAAAAAAAAAAAAAAAAGAGGATATAATGATTAGTAAAAAAAGAGGCCCCACAGACCCCGCCCCCCCATAGATTCACAATACGCTTCGTTTTTTATAAAACTGAAGTGAAAAAGAACTTGCAGTCCACCTGATGCCAAGCCTAGTAGGCAACGAATGCGGTGTCACCTCTGATGATTAAAATGAAACATCCTACAGCCTTATACTGACTTTCTATACCGTTCAGATTTAAACAGCAGCGCAGGCGCTGCTGTTTGTCGGCAGAAATAGATATGAGGATGGTACCATCCCAGACGGGCTAGACAGAAAAAAAGAGTCGTACCATCTAGACGTATACAATAACTTGAGCATGATTTCGACGTTACTTGAAATCTAATTTTTTTTTGTTTTATTGAAATGGGTGACAAAGGAGCACACAGTCCACCCGATGGTAGGTGGTTGCTGTGTGTGGCCCATAGAAATTTATATCTATCCTCGATTACGGATCAAAATACAGACGCGTTGTCACCCCTGAGGACAAAGATGGAATTCCTCGTTTCCAGTAAGAAGGGGTTACGGTTCCCTACACTAACCGTACGAAATACAGCAGCATTGTGTTGCTATTTTACGCTGGTATTCTGTGATAGCGTGGTCTTTCCCCGGTTGAGCCGACTGCATCATGGCTCTAACACGTGTATAGTAGGGTTCTATCTACTTTTATTTGCGGTTACGAGCTTCAAACAAAGACAGGTGTATCATCCGTGAAAACTAAGATAAAATGTCTTGGAGCCTGTTATTTTGTTGGTTCCCTTAATCTTCAAATTAAAACACAAACCACTCCCTAGATGGAGTCGACAAGGTAAGGTATGGAAATAGAGGATGAATTCTGGTGACTCAAAACCGTGCTTTGTTGCATTACATTTGGGAGACCTATTTATAGCAGTGGACTAGTGAAGACCTGTAATGATGTTGAGGGTGACAATATTATTAAACATTGCCGTGCCATTGACAATATTATTAAGCCTTGAACCGAGAAGATGGATCTTCTGTACTTTTGTTATATCGATATTAGTTAATACTGTCATCATCTTAACATTTTCTCACAAGCCCACAGCTGGACTTATACGAATTATATAAAATAGTATAGAGTAATTGATAAGAAGCAGATGACGCCGTCTAGTCATAGAAGTCTTTTATGTGTGAATAACATGTACAGATAAAAACACGTACATTAAATAATAATTGTATTTCCCGACCACATAATGGTAGTTCAACGCACGAACCAACTGCTGCTTAAGAGTCAGTCGCAAATTACGTCACTGACCTTGTTCATGTATGAATCAGATTCAATTAATCAAAATTTTGATTTTCCTGCTAGAATTTACAAGAACATGACATTTTAGATATCTTTGACACCTGCTCGACCTAATTAGATTGCGAATTATATTTAAAAAAAAAAATAAGCGTTTGTCTAATATAATATTCAACACAAGCCTTCACAAAACACGGTTCTGATCCACCTGCATCCATCAACTTCCTTTATATCTTACCACTTCATCACTTCATCTTTTTTTTTATAGAAGAAGGGCAAACGAGCATGTGGCTCACCTGATGTTAAGTGACTACCGCCGCCCATGATCAACCGCAACACCAGGAGAATTGCGGGTGCGTTGCCGGCCCTTTAGAAAGGAGTAAGCTCTTTTCTTGAAGGTCCCCAGGTCGTATCGGTCCGGAAAAATCGCCGGTGGTAAACTATTCCACAGAGAGGTTGTACGTGGAAAAAAACTTCTTGTGAAACGTACAGTGTTGGACCGCCAAGCATCCAGATGGTGTGGATGGTATCGGGACGTTTGACGTGTAGTGCGTTCACGAAATTTGGCGGCTGTGATTAATCCGAACAATTCCTCAGAGCACTCCCCGTGATAGATGCGATAAAATACGCAAAGAGATGCAACATCTCTTCGCAGCGCCAGTGAATCGAGCCGATCGGAAAGCACTCGGTCGTCGACGATTCGAGCCGCTCTGCACTGGATGCGGTCAAGTGGAAGAAGCTGGTACTGGGGAGCCCCGGCCCAGAGATGGGAACAGTATTCCATGTGCGGCCGAACCTGCGCCTTGTAAAGTTGCAGGCGGTGTGCAGGCATGAAATACTGTCCCGCTCTGCTGAGCACGCCAAGCTTTTTAGAGTCCAATTTGGCCTTCCCTTCCAAGTGACCATGAAACTGCACGTCACTCGATATGTCGACGCCGAGGATTCCGACACTGGCTGAGGCAACAAGGTTAGTGCCTTGAAACTGCGGGGATACGACAAAGGGGTTCTTTTTAGCGGTTAAACGCGCAAACTTGTGTCTTCTGGGGGTTAAACTGGACTAGATTTAGTCGCCCCCAATCCGAGACTGTCCAGCAGAGACTCGACTTCAGACACAAGTTTGTCCCGGCACTCGGAGACGTTTTCCCGAGAAATATTGGCTCGGCCGGTGTAAAGAGCATCACCAGTGCTGTCATCTGGATAGCAATGAATGTTACGGGTATGCAACATGTCATTGATACGCAGAAGAAACAGCGTTGGCGATAGCACACAGCCCTGTGGAACACCAGCATTAATAGGCTTGCAATCGGAGCTTGCACCGTCTACAACGACCTTGATGCTCCGATCTGCAAGAAAGCTGGTGATCCAATCGCACAATTTCTCGGGAAGCCCATAGGAGGATCTATTATGCTGACAATACAGCATAATTAATAGAAATAAAAATGGTAAATGATCATGATCATACTACAGTCCGCCGTGTGTGCACTTGGTATGCACGATGTGCACTACTCTGTATCCGCACAGAGTAGTGCACATTTTTTGTTTGGAATAGCTTCTCTTATACGTAGTACATATAACTCAATGCTACAGTCCGTTTGATGTTTTAATAGGACAGGAAAGATACATAAATATAAGTGTAGAGTGTAGACATTTACATCTATCATTAATAAAAATCTAAATGCATATGCGTTGTCCCTTCCAAGGACTAAGGACGTTATCCTTATTTGCAATACGAAATGCAGCGTCATTACTTTACTATATAACGGTACTTTTGTTAGCATGGTCCTTCTTGGTCGATCTCACCTATTCCTTCTGAAGCAATTAGGTATTATGCTGTATTTATTTTTCTCTTTTTACGCAGTCATGTTTTTAGTTAGTTTAAACCATCTGACTTTACGGGTTAACAGTGAAAATATTTAATAATTTAAAATTAGTTGAAAACTAACCATGTTCTAGCATAGCTATGAACTATCGCCTAAACAATTCAATTACCAGGGTGGTCTGGAAAGTTTCCTGTCTCGTTTAGATGGTAGCACTCGTCAATAAAAGCTAGTGAATGTAGTTGTGCATCTTTTGACAGTTACACTCCAACATTTCAGTCGTTTTGAACTCGTAGTTGTTATTTGACAGTCGTCTGAATGAGTGAGTCGATGTGCGAGTTTTTGTGAAAATGGAAAAAATTTAGTTGTCACAAATTGTTTATTTTTTAAAAGCGATACGCCTACGCAAATAAAAGATGAGTTGGACTTTGTGTATGGTGACTGCACCATCATTCACCATAGTGAAATTTTGGGCAGCTGAATTTAAACGCGGCCGTGAGAGTTTGGGGGACGAAGAATGTTCGGGACGTCCAAAAACTGCAACTACTGACGATAACATCGCTAAAGTTCACCTAATAGTGCTAGAAGACCGCCGAATTAAAGTGAGAGTGATAGCGGAGGCTATAAAAATGTACAAATAACGTGTTTGTCACATATTAAATCAAGATTTAGGCACGAGAAAGCTGTCAGCGCGTAGGGTGCCGCGTTTGCTCACGTTAGACCAAAAACGTGTTCGATTGAACTTTTCCAATGCGCTGTAGGCGCAACTTAGGCGCAGCTTAGGCGCAATATAACCGAGTTTTGGCGCCGATTTATTACTGTAGATGAAACTTGGATACACTATTATACGCCTGAAACAAAAATACAGTCTTAACAGTGCACTGCAAAGGAGAACCAGCTCAAAAAAAAAATAAGAACAGTTTTTCGACTAGTAAAGTGATGGCGATGGTTTTTTGGGATAGTCATGGAGATTTCTTAATCGATTATCTTCAAAAAAGAAAAACCATTACGGGAGCATACTACGCGTCATTACTTGACAAACTGAAGGCAGAAATCGCGGGAAAAACGGCCACATTTGCAGAAAAATAAAATTCTGTTACACCATGATAACGCGACGTCTCACACCTCAGCGGTTGTCATGGCGAAAATCCACGAATTACGGTTTGAACTGCTTGACCATCCGCCTTACTGACTTGGTCTAGTCCCAAGCGACTTCTTTTTATTCCATCATCTAAAAATTGCGCTCGGAGGACAGAGATTTCGTCTAATGATTCTTGAACAATTACTATAAACTAATTTGGGTCACCAGGCCACCATAAACAGGTTTCAGAGGCAATATAAGAAGCTCTGCAAGACATGTGACATCGATATCTTTACTGATAGGCCTCAAAATTCAGGCGAAAAATTTTGCAGTCATTTGCTGCTCATGATTTATAAATAATAAACTTAAATTAAATAGAGAGATGGGAACATCGCTGGGATAAGTGTGAAGAATTACAAGGAGACTATGTAGAAAAATAAAAATAAATTTAAAGAAAAAAAAATGTCTTGTATCTTTGTTTGGTCGGAAACTTTTGAGACCACCCACGTAATATATTATTTGGATATGACCTCAATCGGTCAAGTCGTTTTAAAGTTACGCGATCACTAACGGACGCAACAAGGATTATGTATATATAAAGTTATTTGCCAACTCCAAAATTAATTCCTTTCATATTAGTTAGTATTATTTTGACACTCATGAGGGATTCAATCTTCTGAGCTTTATATATATTCCATTCCTAGACACAGCCGTCTTCTCATTTCTAAGAGGGTTTTAGGACCAGGAGGCTGCCCTAATGCGTGCTGGCGGACTTGACCTTACTTTGAAATAATTATTTTTTAGTTTCTCTTATATCAGATACGATATCTTAGATGAGAGACCGGTACCTTAGACACAGAAACTCACGACCACCCGATAAAGTGACAAACGAGCTCACAGTCCACCTGATGTTAAGTGGATGCTGTTGTCTATAGACATCTACTTCTATCCTCGATTAAGAATTAAATGTGATGTGGGTTTCCAGTAAAAAGGGTCTCCGCTTATCTACACCCACCATACGAAACACAGCAATATTATTCTTCCCCGTTCGAAGCGACCCATTCGACCATATTATAGCTGCAGCATGGCTCTATAACTTTAAAAATGTTCCTAATTTTATTAACAAATGTTCTAAATTTTATTTAGAAATGTTTATATTTGGAAGGTATGGAGTAACATACCGACTATCCTGTTGCCTCCACCGCTCTCAAGGCCGCAGCATTCCGTTCTGGGGTCCGGTGGTGCGGTAGATGGTGTACAGATCGTCGGCTTCAATTGCGAACCCAGCACAGGAGCTCTGGAGCCGCAGCACACACTGTACTTATCCGGGCCCTGGCACCTAAGCGACGGGAGATTTAAATATTTAAATAATGTATTCACTGCACTCAAATTCTACGGCATGTGCATGTTTATAAACTAAATAAAAATATTGTTCTGTTAGACTTATTTACGATCCGCCTGACTCACCTGTCCGTGTCGGTGTTCATTAGCGACGGCTTGTGATGTGAACCACTAATTCGACCTTGAAATTATTTTTTAATTTTTTTATTGAATTATTTAATTAATTTAAAATTCAAGATCAGGAACTTATGTTTTGGCACTTTATGAAGTGGAACTATGTTCACCTGTGGAATTTGTGATTCCTGTAATGGTGATGATGATGATGATGATATGGGAAAAATAATATAAATGTTTATTTTAAGTTAATGTCATTAGATAATGACATAACCATAAGATTTTTTGGACCATAAGATTTTTGCGCTTCTCTTTAACCGCATATACCTAATGATTGGACTTAGGGGGTTCTTCATGTGTGACGTAACGACTAACCCCAATTAGTGCCAGTAATTAATAGATATGCGTTAGGAAGACAGACTTTGTACGGTTATAGTCTCACGGAATAATGACACGATCCTAATGTCAGACACAAGAGCAAACAGGTCGCCGTTTGTCGAGTTCGCAGGATCTTGTAAAGCGTTAAAATTATTTTGTGGAGTCGTAGATTAATACGGTGACACGTATATAAAAACCCATGTTAACTGTTGACGATGTTTATACCGTCATATGTCGACCTGGACGTTAACGTGACAAGACTGAAGTGTGAACTATGATACGGTCTGACTTCACACCGTGATGCATTCAGACCTTAGAGACAAATACTCACAACAACGATGTTAGAATCCATAGATACCTATATTTATTCTTTAGTAATCATCAACAACCTCCGAAAGTTGACTGACACTAAGCCCAGTCTTCAGCTACAAGCATCCAGTTCCTACCAGCTACTTTGCGCAGATCGTCTCTCCATCTAGTCAGGGGGCGCCCCACACTACGTTTGCCTAGAAGATGTCTCCACTCCATTACACGTCTACTCCACCGGGTGCGAGTGCTCTGAGGACTAAGAAGTGATGCCTTGTAAACATTAGGAAGAGTCACTAGATAGTCATTCACCATTACAGCAGCATCGCGTAAAGTAGCATCTTAATGCTGCTGTTTCGTATGGTGAGTGCAGAGAACCGGAAACCCTTTTTACTAAAAACGAGGCATCCCATCTTAGTCTTCAGGGTTGACAACGCATCTTAATTTTGATTATTAATCGAAGATAAATGTAAATGTCAATGGGCCAGTATCCACATACCATCAGGTGGACTGTGTGCTGGTATGTCTCTTTTATTCTTAAAAAAAGCAACGTTCTGCTATTTTATGCTCATATTCCATGCGAGCGTGGTCAACTGCCAGTCAAGCCAACCCATTTGTGCCACGGCTACAATACGATGCGATTAACATATGTTTTGTATTTACATACGTCGATTTCACATCGTCATACGTCGATGTCACAAGTCGATCCGTCTGAAATCGGTTTCTTCAGAGGATTTATATGCTTGCTCTGCTGAAGCCAACCGTCCACACTAATATCTTTGGACACGTTGGCTAAGACGCCACTTATTTTGATTTTGAGGAACTCACCCTTCTCAAACATTATAGGTTAAGAAGATGTGAACTGGACTAGATAATGCTTAAGTGAAATCAGTTAATCTGTTCACGTAAGCACTGTTAACTATTATAAACGGTGAACTAGCAAAGTAGCACAGTATCCTTGTTTGCAAAACTGTCTATTGTTTGTGCCAAGTAGTGAGTAATAATTATTGACCATAATATGATAGTCGTTGGTTTTTCCTCGTTTAAAAACGGACATCAAAGTAGAATTTATTTCTGGTGAAACTTTATATTTTATAGTAAAAAGATGACAAACTGACCACATGAATTCTACCCTGAGAGTCTATATTTGAATTCAGTGTAATTACTAATTAGCACTCCCGAGAAATGATAAAAAACAAATGTATTATATATATAAATTTAATACAGTTTAAATCAAATTGAAACTGTGCACTTATAACGATTTTTTTTGCGAATGCTTTCCATTGGTAAAAATATCGCAAGTTAAGAGCCCAGTCTTTCAGAGCAAAACAGAAAAATTGCGTTCTGGTGACACATCTACACCCTCCCTGCCCCGCCACTTCATGTACCGCCACCGCAGTTATCTTTCTGGCCGTAGCGTGGAAAGTTGCTCTACTAAGATTTTCCAGTATCAATTTATCTAATATACAGGATTATTGATAATTAGCTAACAAATTTTCACATACTGATTTTCTACCTCGTATCTATTTTTGTTCCATGCTTTTATTACAAAATTCGTTACACAAAAAAAAATATTTTAAGTTTGTATAATTTTTGTTGTTTTGTTGAAAAGGTTTCTAAAAGATAATCATCTAGAACCTGTATAACATGTACTCGTATTATTGATTATTCAAATGAATCTGGCAAGTGCTAGAATGAGTCGTGCACTGAGGGTTTCGTAATAAGTCGATGACACTATCGAAAATCCGTCAAGTACGTCAAGTAGTTCTAAATACTAAAATAGATTAAAAAAAAAACTCAAAATAATTTCTATATAAGTACAAACAGTCCACTATCACACATATTTATAGTTTCTCATTAAAGTATAATGTAACTTTGTATAGCATTTACCTATATGCATTACAAATATGCAACTCATTTATAAACTATTCTTAAAAGTACCTACCTAATTATATACCTAATATTTAACCAAGTGCTCACACATATGCACGTTGTTAACTATTTTACTATGAAACACAAAAAAACTTACCTTTGAATTCTATTTCTGTTCATTGCTTCAACGTTTGATTTCAATTTTCGTTTTCTGGTACAAGCATATTTTTTTACGTTTATGGTCCATATCGAAATTAAAAGTTATAAAACAAATACAAAATGATTTATAAACCCTTAAAGAATTATATGCAAAAAATAATAAAGTAGAGCAACTTTCAATTCGTAACAATGCGCAACCAAGATTAGGGAAAGAGAGAGAAAGAGGAATGTTAGAGCGAGAGGAAGTGCAAAAATTTGGCACAGACAAGACGTCTGAACGCTACAGCCGCTCAGCGGCTACTAAGGAATATTGCCCGCAATTATTGTTTATAAAGTCAATATTTTATAGGTCGATCGAAATAATTATTAATTTTGAAATAAAGTGGTTTAAATTATTATTTTTTTAATATTTGTCTAATAAAACACCTGCCCTTGAGAAAAAAATAATTATAGCATAAATATTTTCAGCTATTGCTATGAAACAAATAGTTTTTTATGAGGCGAAAACAGCGAAATTTAACGAAATTGAGACCTCTTATTTAAGACAATGAAAGATATTTAGAAAAAAAGAAACAGCGCATTTTGGAGATGAAGATGTTTAGCTATTAACGCGCTGAATAGATTTCGCCTTTTTTATTATCGATTGCCTTATAATGGTACACGAACAAAGCTCGAAATTGCGTTGGGTGCGAGAGAGCTCTATTTACCGTTTGATTTATCTAACATAGACCACATAGATGAAGCAAAAAAAAATTTAGCCATTACTTATAATCTGGGTATTTATGTGTTATCAAAATATTTTACTCTGAAACAATAATTTGCTGTAAAAAAAAGAAATCAAAGTGGCGCTAATGATTCGATGTGAGTCAACTTTAAAAGACTGTAGCCTTAACTGATGATGATGATGCGATTGTTAATTTTTTTCCGAATAACCTTCACAACTCATTAATTGATTTTTGGATTGTGTGTAAGCTAAGGAACCGGTTCACCAAGATCCAACGTATAACGATCTAATACCGGACTTGTGGCGACTTTACTCATACGCGGGTATGGCCTTTCCTTATACAAAATTGATTTTCGACATTGGTGAACTTGCATAATGAATAAGTATATTTTTGAAAAGCGATGAAATTTCACATAATAAACATAAATGAACCGACACGAGTCATTTTTGCTTATCTACCATTCATTTGAAAATGAATCCTTATCTTGGTTTTTATTGTTTATATCATTAAACAATATTACCTATTCATATCAATACAATTCAATTTATTTGCTATTCTTGCTGTATGTTAGGTCTTAGTTATATAAAATTATTTCATAAAAACGACCCTGCAAATATTAGTATTTATAGTAATATTGGTCATCTAGAAAGAATGGCGTAGGTATATGGACGTAAAGAAGGCGAGAGAGTTGTGTCAGGATCATGCCAAATGGAAGTCCGTACTCTCTGCTTACTCTTCTGGGTGATAGGCGTGAGTGTTAATGTATATATTATGTATAGTAATATTATTTATAAAATTATTCTTATTATTGTTTAAACAATATTTACAATTTACAATACAATACAATACAATACAATACACTTTATTGTACACCAACAAAACATAAATAACAAATAATGAACAAACAATGAGGGAAAAACAAAAGGCGGTCTTATTGCTACATAGCAGTCTTTTCCAGACAACCCAGAAGAGGAAATTAATAAAAATAAAAATGAGATTAACGGGTAGGGTGTACTAAATTAGACAAAAAAAAACAACTTATATACTATAAAATGACAACATACTTAAGGTATATTAGTGACCATAACTAAGACGAGGAAGAGAGAGGAGTTAAAGAGACAAATAGTGTTCCTTAGATATTTATTAGTCCAAAAGATTTATCATAAAATGTCGAGGAGTGTACAGGACATTGGAGCGAAAGGTTTTCTTTGGACCGTAAGGAAAAATCGTGACAAGAGCTAAGAAATTTAATACTTTCTTTTAGATAGGGAGGACTTGATACATTAAATAAGACGCAGTAGAGCGCAGAAAGTATATGAGTATTTCGACGAAGACGGATTGGGAGCCACTTGAGTTTAGTGCGGTATTCCGAGACATGGTCATATTTACGAAGCCCAAATATGAACCGTATACAGAGATTTTGGAGTCGCTCAAGTTTATTAAGTTGCTCCTCGGTGATATCAAGGTAACAAATGTCAGCATAGTTGAGGATAGGGAGTAGTAAAGATTGTGCAAGCGTAATTTTGGCGGAAATGGGTAAAAAGTAGTTAAGCCTCCGGAGTGAAGCATAAGCCGCAAACATTTTTCGGCTCACTGCATTAATTCGGGATGTCCAAGAAGACTGGAATCCAAAAGGATACCTAAATTTTTAACTACTTCATTATATGGAATAAGGATACCATTAAATACAACGGGTTGAAGTTGACTTTTTTCATTTTGGAAATAGTTCTTGAACACCCAATAATTATAGCTTGCGATTTTGAAGGGTTAACCGTCAACCCATAAGATCGTGTCCAGTCGAGAATAAAAGCCAGATCCTGATCAATGTGTATCAACATTCAACAGCTTTGGGAAGATCTTCGATGGTTGTTTGTAAATATATTTGAAGGTCATAAAAAACTTGTATGCAACAAGTGGTAGAGAGAAGATATTTGGGATGTAATCGTATTAATAAAGATTGCGAATAAAAGAGGAGATAAGACACCACCTTGTGGAACGCCAGCTACGGTATCAAGCCACGAAGAAAGTCTATCTTGGACACGAATACGTTACCGACGCCCATGCAAATAACTATGAAACCAGAAAATTGCAGTTGGAGATATGTTAAGAGAACGCAGAATCCCTAACAGGATATCATGATCAACAGTATTGAAGGCATTGCTGAAATCCAGCAACACCAATACTGTGACTTGATGATTCTCCATACCGTGACGAATGTCGTCGGTGATTTTTAATAACGATATAATTTTATAAAGATAATAACAATTTACTTAATTAATAACGAAATTTTTCGCCAATCGTCTTCCTACTTAATCATTAAAAACTGCAATTAGTAATATCATTTTTAGTTAAATATGTGTTAACTATCCTTTAAAACATTATTAAATTTTTAACGCTTTTGATAGATTCTGTTTATATGTTATGTATATTTTATTGACAATGCATTTGTAATTTTGATGTGACTGTGGTTAATTTTACTTTTGGCCTACTTTTGAGTATTTAAATATTCTATAACATAATTCACCACTTGATGAAGACGACCTGATGAAGTACGCAGGCAGTCAATGGATGCAGGTGGTTCAGAACCAGGACAGTATCTATAGGGGAGCCCTATGTTCAGCACGGACTTGTGATGAGCTGGATAACTTGCAATTGTGGTGGCCCTTAGATATATACATTTATCCTTGATTAAGAATCAAAACTCGGATGCGTTGTCATCCCTGAGGATTAATATGAAATGCCTCGTTTCAAGTAAAACGGTTCTCGGTTCTCCGTACTCTGCATATTGCTGGGTTTGTTTTAGCAGCATCAATCTGCTATTTGACGCTCCTTCCTCGACCTGTTCGTTCTACAACCATAGTGTAGCTACAGCGTGGCTCTACCACGTACACATATTCGAAATTTTTATTGTGTTGAAATACTAACTTGGAATTCTGCACGAAAGCTATGTTATCCTTGGGCGAAGGCTGTTGGAGTAATGCCGTGAGATGTGGGCAGGAGTAGAGGCTGATGCAATTTCCCTGCTGACCATCGGGAGTGAAGCAACTACTGACGGCAGGTCCAGGTGGATTCGAGGCAGGGCAACAGACCTGTTTTGACGGCAGAATGGGCTTTATTTTTGGTGTCTCAATGTTTGTAACTTTAATAGCTACTTTTATAATCAATACTAGCTGTCTCGGCTGACGTCTTTCTGCTCTAACCGGCAGGTGGCGCTATATGTTTCAGTCAAAATTCTCTCCGGTCGTTTTACGAAATAAATTGTAATACTTTCACACTTTCTTATGTACCATACAATGTCATTTGTTTTATGATTTCCTTGTCAGTCTAGTGGTCGTAAACGCGACAGTTGGTCATGAGGTCCCGGGTTCAAATTACGGGTTGTGTCATACTTAAAGAAAATTCTAAGGCCTTGGAGAGATCAGGCTAGACCTTTCCAAGGCCTTCCACTGTGTTCATGGACAAATACATTTGTACACCACATAATGTTAGGAACAAGCTTAGTATATTGTCTTATTTCGGCATTACATATATTGCAATATTTGACAGTTGAACGGTACTTGTATTGGGATACCCTGTGTTTACAGTGTTCCGACCCTCAAAATATGACTTGATTCATATATTATTAGTACCATAATTGTTAGTATTAAAGGTAGATCAAGAATGTATGTATCTGTCTGTGTATGATTAAGAGTAGAGTACGTGTTCACAGCCTGATTATCTTTATTGTATAACAAGGGTCCTAGAAAAACATGTAGTGGTTTTGCAAAAGGTGATGTTTCTATAGGAATTCTGAATATCTGGTCTTTTTATCGTTTCTGTTGTACCATGAGTCATTCATGGGGAAGCTACAGTACTATAGTGTAAAGAACACAACGATTGAACTTATTATTTCATATTTTATGACATTGGTTACTCTTATAGATGACAATTGTAATATGAGAAAAAGTTAACATTCCTTTTTTATTTTTCAGTAGTTTTAGGCTTATTCTTAAAATATCTATTCTTTGTTATTTTTTATAATGTGGTGGCTGTATTAGATTAACTATAGCCTTATATCATAGTCCAGTCGCTTTCGTAAGCGGTGACTGAGTAAATGATGAAAAACCTGATGAGTAATCTAGCATATTTTGAAGAGATTTTCTTCCTTGCTAATGATTACAGCTTTATTTCTATCCGATTACAACGTAGATGTATTCAAGAGAATATACCACCATTTACCATCAGGTGTGATTGATCAAGCACTGGCAAATAGTTAAAAATGTATTACAATTACAGTCGAGTTACCATAGGCGTTTGATTCTGGAATCCACAGTGCGACTTTCTCAGCGTTTCGTAGTCCTGTTGCGATCTGTTAGGTTTATTAATAAGTGTCAGAAGCACCGGACACTGGTAGAGGTCCACACATCGGCCCTCGTTGCCATTCGCCGCTGTGCACGACGTCTCTGTAACAAATTTATACATTGAGAAACTTAGTGACCTAGAAGTTGCGGCTGAGAATTTTCCTCTAATTGGAAAGCAGCTACAGACTAGATAACGATAATGGTTAAGATGAGACAACAGACTCCTAAATAGAAAACGATGATCTGGTGATTTTTCAAATATTTTTTTTTATTTTGCTTTTCGTATGGTAAGTGAAGTGAACCTTATAACCCTTTTTTAGTATCGAGACATTCCATCATTTTATGGTTTCCACCAGAGTACACCGTATCCCTGGTGGCAGTATATTAGGAAATCAAAACCGATGCTCATTTTCCTTTTTTATTTTTTTATTCTTTGTTAGGTTGTCTGGAATTCTGTAAAGCAATAAGGTACCTGCGAAACAAACCTATATCACCTATAATAATATAATAATAATAAATATAACCTCACTATCGTACTGTCTCACCTCCACGTATCCGGTGTAACGACTTTATGATAAGAGGGATGCAAATGAAATGCTCATCATCGCAAATATGCATAATTATTATTTGTAAATTGTAAGAATCTGTGCACGAGTAAATGTTACAATCCGACAAACTTACATGAATCACTTATATAGTATGAACTATATATATATCACTATAAAACTGTAAACGTAATACTGCTTAATAATTTGTAATTTTAACATCTATATTCGTAAAAAAAACGCCCGTCATTTTATAACAATATTAATCATTGCCAAATCAATGTTAAACCTGTATGTGGTTTATACATGGTTGACCCACGATGAATAGCTCCGAACTATCACATGAAGCGTTGACCGCTCCCCGGACAGAACACCTTGCCCGGCGGGAGATGTCCCCTTTTCCTTCTACGGCCGCACTGTGTTTCAACATCATCATCATCATCATTACAGCCCTTCACCAGTCCCCTGCTGAACATAGGCCTCCCCCTATGTTCAGCAGTGGACTGGTGGACCAGCAATACTAAAAAGAACGGTCCTGAGCCACCTGCATCCATAAACTTCCTGCATGTCTTACCAGGTCGTCACTCCATCTAGTAGGGGTGGTACACTTTGCCTACCGGTACGAGGCTGCCACTCGGGAACCTCTAGCTGTCGGTTCTTTGAGTTATATAGCCGACACATTGCCACTTCAGTTTACTAATCCGTTGGGCAATGTCAGCTAAATGCTGTGCTTGCTCTTTTATATTTGGATCTGAAGTTTTTGGGGAGTGATTACAGGCTGTGAATATTCCATCGTAGTCCTCAGAAATGAATGCATTTGTAGCTTTCTTTGTTTGAAGTCGGCAACAGGAGTCCATGGATCAATTATCACTGTGGTGGGGTACTGGTGGTATTGGTAGGGGGAGGGGGTGTATGTTAATTTGTTTATCACTGGAGTTTAAAAAAATAATTAATAACTAGGACGTTGTGTCTCATTTTTTAATTTTGTATACACTAAACAATTTTTAACACACTTTTATTAGCTTGTGTTTATCTAGGTAACGGAATCTTTTAAATATGATGTAATTTTTACCAACTTGAAGGCTTGATTTTTTTTTCAATTTTCATCAAGAACCTATACAAAAATTGAATAATATAAATATCCTCAGATCAGGATCATCACCACACCTCATGATCAAAGCGTAAGTTTTTTACTCTTATATTATTTACGGACTAAACATGAGGTAATTCATAAAAACAGTTCATTAAATCCGTATTCAAAGCGTATTTTTTGTATATATTATCATCGATGCGCCTCTCGAAATAAATATGTTATAAAGAAAATAAAAAATACAAACGTGATTGAGCAGTTTCTGTAAACACTAAAACACTTAAAACTACTAAACATATTTTATGTAAATAACTTTTATATTCCGCCATATTCTCAGTGACATACACAATAACCGTTCGCTTTCGATCCCGGATGGATCATCACTGATTCACTGATCGGCCGCGAGTTACGAACGGGTGACCTTAACGAGATGTGGCAGCATTGTCAAGCTCTGAGTGACTCCGGCGGTTAGTTCAATTCAGTTCATAGAGTACTATAATACACAATGTATTATAGTGGTACCCGGATGACCGAGCTTTGCTCGGTTTTTTTAAGTTACATTTATATACAAATTACATGAATAATAGTTTTTGATCTTATTGACATAATAGAAAAAACTGAACTGGTTATTTGAATGAAAAAATCATGAGTGCAATTAGTTTAATTAAAATCTTCGTATAATAGGGCTCGAAATAATAGATTTTCTCACAAAAGAAGGGAACTTGAAAAAAAAAAGGAAAAAAGTCGGACCCAAGACGGGATGCGAACCACGGAACTCCGATATCATGCCCGAACAACACCCCATCTGAGCTATTACGACCATTGATAATCTGTCAAAATTTACCTTCTTATATTGTAGCAGTTTTTTTATTGCCTGAAAACACGGACAAAAGGACATTTTCTAAAAATAAATCCTAGCTAGATCGATTTATTGCCCCCCGAAACTCCCTGGACACTAAATTTTATGAAAATCGTTGGAGCCGTTTCCGAGATCCCGATTATATATATATATATATATATATATATATATATATATATATATATATATATAAAAAAGTACCCGGTTGACCGAGCTTTGCTCGATATTTTTCGCTCGGTTTTTTTTTAATTCATGTGTTTTGGAAATTATATTTAGATACAAATTACATAGGGGAGAGGTGGTATACTTGATCCCTGTTTTGGTTTTCTTTTAGTAATTAGAACCATTTTCATAAATCTGACTTTCTTTTAAATCACACATGTATTTCCGTTCAATACTACTGATTTAGCACCAATACAGACCTTCTTATTTATTAAAAAAAAACGACAAAAAGGGTTTTTTTAAAGTCCGACACAAGGATCAAGTAACCCTCCCTATGGGGATACTTGATCCCGGTGAGTGGGTTGTATGATCCCGGAGGATCAATCATCCCACCCGTCAAAGTTTCAGCCATAGGCCTACCTAAATATGGAAATTAAATAAACTTAGGTCTACTTTTAATAAGTTGTAATTAACGATTCGAAATATGAGTAGGTACAAAATGAAAACAACATAAAAAATTGAAAACACAGACAAAAAATAAATGGGAAAATTATTCGAGAAGTGGCACGGAATAAATGTCACGTGTTTTTGAAAATTTCGTCGGCTCCGGCAAGTGTCCCAAAATGTCACCCCACACATAAAATATTTCGTCTTCCCTTGCTGGCCACTTCCAAAGCCTTCCACTTTTTTCCATTGCTTTTATTGTAGCCCCGTTTTCATGTATTTTTGTAATTTTTCCTGGCTATGACAAACCATTGTAAATTGCAACTACAAATTCCCCTACTTCTTTTCTGATGGGCTCAAAAGCTCTATGACCCTCGCCATCACTGCATAACTCTTCTTCCCCCCCTGACGATGATGGAAGTGGAGGACATTCATCAGAATCAGATGAGGTGTCATCGTCAATTTTTTTTAGTGAAAAGATTTGTCTCACTGTTTTCTTGGTAGGCCTATTTTCTTTAATCTTCCTTTTCATTTCTATCTCTGCTATCTTCGCCAACTTTTTATTTGATTGTTCTTCGATGGCTGCTTTTTCCGGAGTATCGGTTAGGATGCGAGTACGTCCTCGCTTTCTCCCGCGCGACGACTGCGAGCGTGGACCTGCCTTGGGGTAGGGCATGATGTCCTGTGGTGAAAAGTGCATCGGCACTGATCCTCCAAGTGAGGATGGGGAAGCGCGTTCACTCATACTGCTGCTTTGTACGGGCTCCTCAAGTGGAGAAGGGAGAGGGCAGTCCGACGCTATCACACTTCTCTGTGTTGGTTCTTCAAGTTGAGAAGGGGGAGGGCGGTCCGTAACTAAACTGGTCATGAACTCACTCTCCGTGAAAATGTCGGCATTTATGGGCCATATTCCAGCCGCCCTGAAGCCACTAATTATATTGGTAGGCACCATAGCCCTTGGGAAAGCTTCCCCTAACAGTTCCGAAACGTCGTAGATTGTGATTGTTCTCCCGGGGTGTCTCAGCATAAAATTTGATGCTGCCTGAGAATAAAAGGTTTTTAAGGGGCCAAAAACAGTCCTGTCTAATGGCTGCAGCTTGTGGGATGTGTGTGGTGGAATTGTGAGAAGAACGATTCCGTTGTCTTTTGCGTAGTTGAGGGCGTCGACAGAACAATGACTCTCGTGATTGTCCATGATGATGAGGTGTTTCCTATCAGCGTTGGGTTGAACATGACGAACAAAATGCTTGAGGAATTTTATAAAACTGTCGCCCGTCATCCATCCACTAGGATGAGTAGTTGCATCGCTGCTAGGAGGGGCATGATTGAGGAACCTATCCTGCCAGTTTTTTCGGGGGGAATATCATGTATGGCGGGATGTGGCCCCCGGCAGCGTTGATACAGGCACAAACGGTAACCAGCTCACCTCGTTCGGCCGATGTCATTTTTCCTACTTGTTTGGAACCCTTAACTGCAATAATTTTGCTGGGTTTATGGACAGTTGTTACCCCTGTTTCGTCAATATTCCACACCCTTTCGGCAGTAAATTCGTGCTTATTAAAAACTGCAGTCAAATTTCCAAAAAATTCCGCCACGGTGTGTTTATTAAACGCTGTCGCTCACGCCAAGCTGGTAGGCTCTAGAGTTCTTAAGGATAGAGTTTGCTGTCTCTCCAAAAATCCACGATACCAATCGCGACCCGCCTGTTGCGAGTGATCCCATGAAGAGGGGTATTTCATCTTATTTGCTTTGGCGAATTGGTAAGCTACCTTACGCAATTGTACAACGGTAAGTCCATAATACATTTTAGACATATGAACAAGATACGCTCCTAGCTCATCCTCGTGACGTTTGGACAAAATTTGTCTATTGGTAAAACCAGGTTGAACATAAGAGTCTCGACGGCATAGCCTTTTAAGTGTCATGACATTAATTTTAAATTCTCTTGCGACGGTTTTGTAAGCAGCTCCATCTTTAACTGCTTGGACCGCATTTTTCAAGGCCTCCGGGTCGTAAGGTACCCTCTTCATGGCTCCTTGCTTCGATACGTACTTCCGCGGCATCTAAAAGAACGGAAGTTATGAGATTTACTTCTTGACCCAAACAAAAGAATTATAGGTGGGATACTTGACTCCGGGATCAAGCATCCCCCTAGCAAAAGGGATCAACTATCCCGAAGCAGTAACTTTATTTAAAATGGAAAAAAAAACAGCAACAAGATGAAAACATTTGACTCGGAAATAATTGAATTTACACAGCTAAATACACACAATATTTCATAAATACAAACAAAAAAATTGTAAAGTACACGTACCTGAAGTTTTTCGAATTGTCGTACACTAAGCAAAACAAGTAAGATCCGGTAAAAACATAAATTTCCAATTATTTTGGCAACGAGCTGTTGTTTCGGTTTAATGTTTACTATTTGTACTTGCCATCATGGCGGTGTCCCAATGCAGCCAACAGAACACCTTAAAACACTTTTTGGCGCTAGTTTTAAATGAGGGATCATGTATCCTCGGGGATCAAGTATACCACCTCTCCCCTACTGATGAAATACGAATAATATTTTTTGATCTTAGTGACATAATAAAAAAAACGGAACTGGTTATTTGAATAAAAAATCATGAGTGCAATTACTTTAATTTAAATTTTCGTGTTTTTAAAAAAATACTAAAAAAAAGAGCTCGAAAAAAATAGATTTTCTCAAAAAAGAAAGGAATTTGAAAAAAAAATTAAAAAAAGTCGGTCGGTCGCGGTCTGGGCTCGAACCGGGGTTTTACGAATCTGTGACCGACCATTACACAAATTAAGCTATTTATACTCACTAACAATGTGTAAAAATTTACCTTCTTATTCTAACGATATTGTAACAGTTTTTCATTGCTTAAAACACGGACAAAAAGACATTTTCTAAAAATAAATCCTAGCTGGATCGATTTATTATCCCGGAAACTCCCTGGACACAAAATTTTATGAAAATCGTTGCAGCCGTTTCCGAGATCCCGATTATATATATATATATATATATATATATATATATATATATACAAGAATTGCTCGTTTAATAGTATAGGATTCTATGATTCAGTCAAGTTCATTATTTGACAAATTTACGCTAATGACATTCTATATTTTCGAAAAGAAATCATGTGTGATAACAGCGTGAAATTTCGTTTACAAAAGGTTAATACTTTAATATAATAGAACTTTTTTGAACTATAATAATGAATTAAAATTATTAAATAATGTACATAACACTCACGCCTGTTACCCAGAGAGGTGGGCAGAGAATACGGACTTCCATTCTCACACGATCTGTCACTCCTGTTTCGCTTTCTTTACATCCATATATCTACGCAAACACGCTCGTCTCTTAGCGGATCTCTTTAAAATAATATATAAACTTATATATAGATAAACTTTCGTCTAGGGCGTCCTTTCCCGACTCTACCGTTCACATCTGCAACATAGATTTGCTTTGTCACACTTTCAAAAAGTATTATAACATTTTTTACCAAAATTACATGATGTTACCGCAGTATGAATATTCATGTTATGTACTCTGGTTTCATTTATTAAACCTTTCCATTTAATCTTATACTAAAATCTAAAAATGTATCCCTTCCGTTGTCTTTAACGTGTGCTATTTTATTCCTAATATTTCCGCAATCTGTCGTTCAAGGGTCGTAATTATGTTGGTATTTCCTCTTACGAGGCCTTCCAGCAAGTTTAGTTATTTATCTTTTTGCGGCTACCATACATGTGACAAATTACATGTAATCGACTGTATATGTACCATATTATTATTATTATTTGAAGTTTCGACGGATAGCGTTAGGAATATACGTTACCCACTCTCCTCGGTGTACGATTTTCACGTTTCCGAAGAATTCTTTCGATTTATTTCTCGGTTGTATAAATTGCAGTACTTTTTAAAAATAATGTGATTTAGTTGGAATAACTTTAGCTATTATATGCTGTAGCTATATTATGGTTGTAGCACGAACAGAATACCAGCGCATTCCGTCTTGGTCCTCAAGGGTGACAACTGACAACGCATATGAATTTTGATTCTTATTTGAGGATAGATAATAATGTCCGTGAGCCACAGCATCTACTTACCATCAACTGGACTGTGTGCTCGTCAGTCCCCTTATTCTATAAAAAAGGTACAGGATTTCTTTTTGAACAGACTTATAAAAAAAATTGTTAGTGACATTCTGGTGCTAAAAAGTCAGACGTAGAAATGCAGAGTAGTCAACGTTTTACTAATAAATATACTAAGACTAAAGTTGTTTTCTCAACGATATACTCACGAACTAAGCCACACATCATTAAGATCTCGTTTAACCGCTTCACTCTTCACTACTGGCGTCACTGTCGATGTACAGGTTTCGCATCTTTATAGTATCAGTTTAAAAAAAAACTAGTTATATATAATTTTATTATTAGTATCTAAATATTTTGTTATGTTAGAATAATTAGTAGGATTGATAGTCATTAAGTGTACGGTCCTAACGTATAGTTTTTTTTACTAGCTAAGTGTTTAGCTATTTCTAGCTAGTTTCAACATTACTATTTACTAAAGTCATCACGTAACATAAGCCTCCTTTAAGGTACCGCAGGTAATCTATACAAATAAATGAAATTGAAGTGTCTGTTTGTAATGTCAAAATTAGCTTTTAGTCAAGATATGCACACGGTAGTATATACGGTACTTGTAAAAAAAAAAACATCTGTCTGTCTGTTTGTTTGTTTCGACTAATCTCCGAAATGGCTGGACCGATTTTGACGCGACTGGCTGGCAGGTAGCTTGTATTATGAGGAGTTACTTGGGCTACTTTAATTTTTTTTAAATAATTAGGGTAATAATCCAATGTTAGGGTTTTGCATCCAATCCAATCGTAATAGTAATGATACGGACGAAGTAGCAGCAGAAATATATCATACAAGCAGGGAACAGCTAGTATGATATATTTCTGCGTAGTGGCAGTGTATGAATATCCCCTACCCCGTGTTATCCCGTGAGTGTCGTAAGGCAACAAACGCGAGTTATACGTGGTAGAGCCATGCTGCAGTTATATTAGTAGTATAGTTGTAGCACGAATGGGTCGGCTCGACCGGGGAAGGACCACGCTCTCACAGAATACCAGCGTGAAATAGTAGCTTAATGCTGCTGTATTTCGTATGGTGAGTGTAGAGAACCGGAGACCCTTTTTACTGGAAACGAGGCATTCCATCTCAGTCCTCACGGGTGACAACGCGTCTTCATTTTGATGTTTAATGGAGGATAGATGTAGATGTCTATGGGCCGCAGCAACCACTTACCATCAGGTGGACTGTGTGCTCGTTTGTCACCCTATTCTATAAAAAAAAAAAACGCGAACAAATCGCGAGGTGGGCAGCAGCGTCTTACCAATAACGAAAAATAAAAAAGTCGGTTACCAACCCGCCATGAGAATTCTATGGGGGAGGCCTATGTTCAGCAGTGGTTTTAATTGGCTGTAACGGTATATGTGATATCGTACAGCGCCATCTCTCGGAGACTGTGAGATGGTCCGAGTGTTTCTGAAGTCGCTTCTTACGATAGCCTTGGGGTAATATGGGATGAATAATTCGCTTGTACTGCCGTCAAATATTATAAAACGACAAAATATAAACTTTTGCTATTATATAAAATTAGTAAGCATAAAATGGCCCATTAGTAGTTAAAATAAAAGAATAAAAAAAACATTACTTTTGTAATATATTTATTGTTCTGTTGGTCAGTCATTAAAATTTAAATTACTTCAACTTTAAAACGTCTATGGCCTGATCTGGCTTCGAATCCATGGTAGGTATTCATAAACATTGGTGTAGACACCGGGTATATTAAGTTGGCCGCAGGGAGTCGGGCCGAAGCTTACTATGCCGACCACCTCGTAGAGTCGTCCGTTTTCGTACATCAGCGGACCGCCGGAGTCTCCTTTGCACGAGTCCTTCCCAATCTCCCCGCCAGCGCAGATCTGTCCCTTCCTTATAGATATGTTTTCTGGCGGCTGTCTTGTATTCCTGTAATACATGGCTTTACATTCCTGTAAAGACAAATACACCCTGTAATGGCAGTGTAAGTGTAAGTGTAAGTGTAATATTCACTACCCCATATCGTTTTGTAGGTGTAAAAGTTGAAAACGGGAAACCAGGGGATGGGCTAGAGTCTACCTAATAACAATAAAATAAATAAACTACGTATGCCAACCCATCTGTCAAGCATAACAACTGTAACAAGTAACAAATAGTCTCCCTAAGAGGCACTCTATGGGTGAGACCTATGTCCAGCTGTGTGCACTTTAATAGGCTTTGATAGGATACGATAAAGATAGATGTCAGATTCAATCTTACATTTTGTCTAACAAGCGCGTAGAGTGTAGGGTGATACTACAAATCATACACATCCATTTTTACTGGAAAAACAGGCATTCCATTTTAGTCCTTATTGGTGACAACGTATCTGAATTTTGATTTGTAATCGTGGATAGATTTTGATGTCTATGGGTCGCAGCAACCATTTACTATCAGGTGGACCGTGTGCTCGTATGTTACCCTTATCCTATAAAAAATTATAAATATATTTATTTTTATTTCATATTAGCGACAATGCGCGGGTTGTTTTTGAATCTCGACAACAGCACCACCTAAGTAAAACTGAGTTTTAAACCATCCAGGGACAACCACTCAAAAGCACACAAAAACTTCATCAAAATCATTCGCACCGTTTCAGAGTTTTAGCGATACTAACGGACAGCAATTAATTTATATATATATATATATATATATATATATATATATATATATATATATATATATATATATATATATATATATATATATATATATACTAAGTTTTTTTTTATTTCAAACGTAGTATTTAATGATTAAAAAAAGTTTTATTCACATTCCGCGTAACGTAGGGTAGATCAACGTGCATTTTTTTATCGCTGCTGCTTTTAAATGTGTCCACCGCGCCCCAACCGGCCACGTACAGCCTCATATCAGAACGTGGTGATATAGTTACATCCGTGGTCGGTAAGCAAATGGGACGAATGAAATCTGAAAGACATAGAATATTTAAGTAATGAGGGTTAATCACTTTGTGCACACCAGATGTCGCTGCATGCATGAAGTTTGAACTAATGCCCCGGCTACACGCACCGTCTTGCCTGTGAGCATGCCTGCACAAACCAGTTTGCACAGGTAAGCGCGTGCGTGTGAACGGTAAGACTGTGGCTCGCGCAGGCGGCCTGCGTAATCGTTGACGTGCTCAAGATTGGACTGCGCGGGCTTGGTTTGCACGGTTTTGCCTGCGAGCTTACTTGAGCGTGTGGCCGGTTACTCAAGCCGCGCTTCAGTCCGTCTAAATTATTGTTGACGACACATTTATGTTATTAAATCTTAAAAATGAGTGATGTACGCAATTATTCCAGGGATTTTTTAACTGAATTCATAGAATTGTACAAATCGTTGCCGGCGTTATGGAAAATTAAAAGTAAGGAATATTCCGACAGGAACAAAAAAAATGAAGCTTATCATTTATTAATTGAAAAATTAACTTTCTTATTTGTTGCTTTTTTACAAGTAAACTATAATATAAGGCTCCGTTTAAAAAACCTCTTCTGGCCACATCGTGACGTGACTAGCTCTCAAAACACTTTGAGGTTTGCACAGTCCAGTTTGCACAGTCCAGTTTACACAAACTTACCTGCACGAGCCATTGTACAGTCATGACTGCACAGGCCTGGACTGTGCAGGTAAGACGGAGCTTGTAGCCGGGGCATAAGGTGAGGTTATTTGTTGTACAATGTTACTAAAATTTAGTTTATCTGCTTCTAGAGTATGTAATTACACAAAAAAGCCTCAAAGGATCGTTGTTATAGATTTTTTTAGAATCCCCAACCTTGAGTTCGCGGTCCGCACCCGGCCATTAGTTTACTGTCGCTTACTACACTGTATTCTATCTCATTCTCTCGCAGGCTAAATCCTATTGATATATATGTTTGTCTCTTTTTAGTGTCACATTTTAGTTTATTGGAGTTTTAAATCAAAACGATTTTAAAGAAGTTTTCATTTCAAAAAGTTAATTAAACGTGATAAAACCCGTAAAGGACTAGTTTTATTCAAAATATAGTGTTCGCGTTATTATGAGAAATCATGACGATCATCCAGTTTTGGAACAATTATATTTTCAGGTCACACAATTATGTGTTCCTGGCGGGTTTGAATCAGTACCCCAGTTAAACGCACGGTATAATAACTTCCAGTTAGGACTATAAATTATTGGTTATACCGGGTTGATTTTTTGTAAATATAAAAAAAAAAAACCGTAACATTGTATTAGGGACTATGATTCTTGCGTAAGTATCCTAAGAAAAATCCTCGTTTTATACAATGGATTGGGAAAATATATATCCACTCAAGTACTTGATCTAAGTTACACGTACCAAGCTCAATTTCGTTGAGTGCTTCATGTCACATCGCTAGACTTTTTTAGTCCACTACACGATATCAAGCCATTTAACAAATTCTCCGGATGATATGGACGTACTCATTACGTTGGGTCAATCAATAATATCGCATTGGTAAAACTGCTGTCCATCATATTACCGCCGCCACATCCGATATGATTGGTATAGAGATCCAGTATAAGTACAGGCTGTGACGCACTCCATCTTAGTCCATAGAGGTGGCGACGTATCTGTAGCCTTCTTTGTTTTTACTTGGCAGCAGGTGTCCATGAACTTCCGTGGCCACTTACCCTCGTATGGATTGTAACATTTTTTGTAACATTAGTAAGATTTTATTTTTAAAGCCTGAAGTGACAGTACGAACTGTCAGTTCAGGCTACAAAAATAAAATTTTCGGTTTCTGAAATTTAAGTTCAGCGTTATTATCTTGTCAGCAGGAGTATCGCTAGCCTTGTCCATCATTCAGCTGGGTGCACCAAGTACAAGCGAGTATTGGTATTTGATAAAAATTATGACGTGTTTATTAGTAACAAAACAATAAATCGTGACACACGTCATTTAAGTTAGTTATTCTACTCTAAAGAGTAAGTAATTCATTTATGATTCATGAGGAAAAATACGCTTTTATAACAAATCCCGAAAAAATATGCAAAATTTAAAAAAAAAATCAAAATTTGTACTACACTAAGTATTAAAATAGTAATCTCTTGCAATGAGGTAGTCGGTACCAAGCTGTTTTTATAATGTTTTGTGCATTGAGTTATACAACACTAGAGGAGCAAACCACATTACCGCGCGTCGAAAAAAGTGTAACCACTATCCAAACGCGACGACGTAGCTTTGAAACTAATAACAATTTTAAGTAAACATATATCTATCTCACTTACACAAGTTGCGAAAACAATATCGTCGTCGTAAGATTAAATAAAGATAGACACACAAACATGCAATGACGGGTTGGTGTGGCTTAGTATATGAAATTTTACCTAAAATACGCAATAAAAATGAGTTTTTTTTAAGCTGCAGTTAATTGTTTTTATATTAAAAAAAGTATATTTTATTTTAAAATCTTTATTACGTCCCCTTAGAAAAAAAGGGATACAAAGCTTATCAGATGAATAGAAGTAAACATAATGATGAAATAAAACGTATTTTTATGGTTCTAATAAATCAAAGAATATAAAATAGGTAATAAAATATATTTAATAGATAATTAATGAGTAAACTAAAATAAGAATAATTAATTATTTTGTATGAAAGTTAAAACGTAGTTTTGATTATAATTTCCAAAATATTTAAAATCAGAGGTAACAAATTAACTTACTCCATTAATTATATAGTCTCCCATTAATGTAGGATAATCACAAATGCGGAAAAGTGGCAACATTGAACCTAAATGGCAATATTCGATAATTTAATTTAATTATTTGAGGTTTTTTACGTTTATATGAAAACAAGAACTAAAAATTATGTGTTGAAAGTGATGCCGCTTGATTTATTACGTTTTTGTGACCTTGAATAGCATTCTTTCACTTCACATTTACCCAGTTTTGTCGCGGCTCAACTATGTCGGCGCCACATTGAACAATGAACTCACGTTAGCTAGGCATATGGCTGTGGCCATATGTGCAGTGGCAACGCTTTGGCGCGTTTATTACTGATCTAGGGTTATATAAATCAATGGCTTTGTGTAATTCATTGTAATTATATGTCATTTTACATATTACTTTTAAAGAAATAATAGGTTTAGACTGTTTAAATCTTTTAATCTGTTATTAATTTTTACACACAGCGAATTTCAATCTCTCCAAACAACCGAGTTGCCAGTTATATAAAAAAAAGACTCCCAAGGAGGCTATTAATACCATAGTGATTTATATAAATTTTCCCAAGTAATTTAAATAACAATATTTAAACAATAAAAAGGACAGAATTAAAACCTTAAATTAATATTTTTAACAGTCGGCCATCCTGAAATGGTGGCTGTCCCAGACACAAGAACAAAATAATATTTAAAAAATGTTATTGGAATCATAAGTGACCATCAATTGTCTATTATACTGGAACACATTCATATAATGAAATATTACACATTGCAAAAAAAAAAATTACAAAATTACAACTGGTAGCTTGATACTTTGTCGGCCATCCCACACCACAGAATGTCCCCATTCTGTATAATGTTTAGATGTTGGAATTATGTGCCTTGAGTTGGTTCAGCATCCCTTTCTCGCGAGAAGTTCACCGCATCTGTACAGCAATTTGGTTCGACTGGGCACCGCTTGCATACATAGTATGCTTCGGCCTCACTCCAGCGAAATTAAGTAATCTCTGGGCACCGCTTGCACACACAAGGTACTTCGGCCTCTCTCTAGAGATTGTATATGAATGGGCACCGCTTGCACACACAGGGTGCTTCGGCATCACTCCAGTTCATTTCAAGTCAACAAGTCTGGGCACCGCTTGCACGCACCAGGTGCTTCGGCCTCACTCCAGTTCATCAACAGCTAACAAGTCTGGGCACCGTTTGCATTCCCAAGATGCTTCGGCCTCACTCCAGGGAATTTCATTGTTTACTGGGCACCATGTGCACACACAAGGTGCTCTGGTCTCCCTCCAGTCTTCTAGGATATCAGCATTGCTTTACTGCCCGGGCACCATGTGTGCACCCTCGTTGGCATCATAGAGTTCAATCAGGACTGGATGTTGGAAAAGAATACTCAGGACAAGGAATTAAGGAAATTTGTATATTTGAATAGCACACTATATCAGAATCACAGGGCAGTAGTATAAATAACACATAAAAAATTACACAATTTGTACGGGTGAATAATGAGATTAATTGTTAGTTACTATCGCAGTAATCACTTTCGGATTCTGAATCATTAAATGTCACCCAAGGCTTTAATTTGTCTACCGGAAAAACGTTACTATACTTTTTTTTTGAGTAACCCTCAACGCTACAAATCAAATAACGGTCATGGTCCAACACTGCTGTCACGCGATATGGGCCACTGAAGGCTGGGACAAGTTTCTGATTCTCTCCGGGTGTCCTGGTACTCTTTTGTGCCATTACTAAATCCCCGACCTTGTATACTGTGGCCTTACATCTTTTTTTATCAAACCGTTCCTTCATTGTCTCTTGTTGTTTAACTAACTTGTCACTTGCCTCATTCCTGATTTTCTGAATAGTTTCGGGCGAAATATCTTTAGATGAAATTATATCGTGCAGGTGAGTCTCAGAAGCATTTATCGTATTTTTTCCGAAAATAATTTCTGTAGGACTTTTGCCAGTACTTTGGTTCACTGTGTTATTGAGACTCCATTGCACCTGATTAATATGAAGGTCCCAATTCCTATCATCCTCTCCATGACATAAAGCTGTGATCGACGCCAGGATTGTGCGGTTATACCGCTCAATTTGGCCATTAGCCCGAGGGGTAGCCACTGCGTTTAAGATGTGCTTAAGTCCTACTGATTCAACGAATGTTTTAAATTCATTGGAGGTAAAGCTAGTTCCCCGATCAGATATCAAGCTTTGCGGTACCCCGAATAGTCCGAATACGTCCTTAAGAACGTCGATCGACG